TTGCGCAGGTCACTAGGCTGAAGCGCGGCAAAAAAAAGGAGAGAAGAAGAAGAGCCGTTAGTGAGACGCACGAATCAGAGCAGCGAACAGAAACCAAGCCATGCACACACACACACACACAGAGCAGAAATCACAACAAGATATCAGTTACTGGGGAACACACACGCACACGCACACACTGAGCAGTGAAGATCTTGGGGAAATGAAGTCTGTAGGAGCACCAGAGACACTGCAAAACAACCGAAGTCAGGATGGGTGCAGACTAGTAAGAAATCGGAGGAATTATAGCCTCGAGGAAATCGAGTTGAAAAGCAACTAGCCGAGCAGCTAGCTTCTAATTTACACCAATCACAGGTGACAGGGCGGAGAGCAGGTTGGCTGAGATGCTATCTGATTGCTTTCGCTTTATGGGGCTTCACCCTCAGAGCCCAGGGCAGCGTAACACCTAATTCTACGAAGCAGTTTGACTCATATTTTCCACTGTGCACCCAAAAAAGTGTGTTCCTTTCCCCTGCTGCATTCCTCACAGGCCGGGCATTAGCCGAGCAAATAAACCGTCAGCGTGCCACATCTCTACGCTGGGTTCTCTTGCCCCCAGGAGGAAAATACCTAATCGCTCATTTCCTCTGACTCATCGAGAGCAGCGAGGAAGAGATTAGGAGCTATAAAAGGAAACGGGAAGAGGAAATTGAGAGAGGGAGGAGACATGTATTTAATTACCTTATTTAAATGCTCCTTTTTTGTTAGGAATGTTTGACTAGTTTCACCAATGCCTTAAAGATAGATTCAGTAGTTTATCAATGTCCCTCTCATGTCTGTAATGTTTCACAGCTGTGGTTCAGTACACTTTGTGTCAGCAGAACAGTGAGCCAGCTTTTCACTGCAGTATTTTCAAAACAGCTGGATTGGAAAATAACCGCAGTCATGGGAATGCACAAGGATTTCATTTTGTATCCATACATTCAACAAATAAGACTCGGAATGGAAAATGCTGACAATTAGTAAAGATTTACGAGCCATAAATCTAACAAGGACTTTGAAAAAGGCTGTTCTGCTTTTACATTTCCACTCAAATGAATTTATATGTTTTGAAACGGTGTTTAAAAATGTCTGGATGCCGCAGAGGAGTTGACTTTAAAAGGTAATACAATATAACACACTGCAAAATAACAAAATATCTTTCTCCATTCTGAAGTCTATCCCAGAGGAACCTGCTCCTATTTTAAACAACCACTACTCAGGTGTATGTGAACAAAGTAACTTAATGAAGAACGAATGTATTTCCTTATTGTTTTGTGATTTCATTAGTGATCTTGAAAGATACAATATAAACCATTGTACTTCTGATAAGGGAACGTCTTTAAAGCAAATATGTATTCATTGAATTACCCAATACAACCTGCTTCAAGTACATTGTGTCCCTAGTTTCACAAACAAGTTATTTCTGTGGGGTTATTCTCGGAGCAGAGTGATGTGTTGAGCACACAGCGGGGGGGGGGAAGAGTCCTGTATGTCTTTGGAGATATCAGACGGAAAAGCACGGAGAGGAAGAGGCAGACTGCACCCACCTAGGGAGGAAGAGGAGGAGGAGGAAAGTTCTGCAGGTACCTGGAAGTACGGTGCATAGCTATGAGCCTGAGGGCCAGCTGCAGCACAGGGCAGGTAAGTGACTGTCTGCTGGATGATGTACGGATCAGAGCAATACTGCTACAGCGAGGGGCATCACATACACATGGTTACACAATCTCACACACGGTTACACACTCACACACACACACGGTGTTAGTACACTGATCACGCTGAGGGGAGGAGACAGCATCAATACAGAAAGGTCATATGGAAGGCAAACAGCGTCAAAATAGATTATATTTCCAGGGTTCGTACAACTTTTGGTGTAAATAAAGTTTTTTTAAAGCATTTCGAAATAAGCTAAAGATGGCACTCACATATTTTGTACACATCTAAATTGTTTCTATAACTGCAAGACAATATTAAGTGAAGTTTACAGAATTCATTAATACCTACAGCAATCTGGGTGTAGTGTCACCGTTTATTTTTCCGGACGTTCATTTTAACTTTGACTTTGTTTTAATCGTGATTATTTAATTCTTAACTAGATCCATGTAAAACTTCAAATGCAATAAATGTAAATAATGTTTAGAAAATATTATACATTTTTTTTTTTAATGATCCAAAAACTAAAATGTCTAAAAACAGGCATTTTTCAAGGCATATATTAAAGAATATGCCTAACCTTCAAAACATTAACGATTAAAACGCATTTATAAAGGATTATATTACAATTCAAGATCGTTTTTACGTAACGATTAAATAAAAGCATTTATATATATATATTAAAAAAAACAAAAACAAACACAAGGCCGTTCCTAACCTCGACAACATAACGAATAAAATCACGCATTTTGCAAATTGTGTACGAACCCTGCAATTCAGCCTCATGTAATCACCAGTGTTTCAGAAGCAGAACTGAACAAGCGATCTTAAAAACGGGACTTAATGTGTTATTATTTACATGGAGCTGAATTTTCGACTTGATCTGACCATTGAAGTGTTATCGTATCGTATCGTATCGTATCGTATTAGGTGCAGTTGTTCGATGCTGGTAGATTAAAAACACGTGAGAGTGAGGAGAGTTTTACCAAGGTCATGACCCCCATGCGGTCCAGCTCTCTGTTGGGGCTGCGGGAGACTCTGCGGGGGGTGGAGCTACCGGAGTCCGGGGGGGAGCCGCCCAGCGAGGACCCGGCACACAGAGAGGGGGGGATGGAGCTCATGGAGCGGAAACGACCTCCGAGACTCTCCCCGCTGCCGACACGACACTCAATCTCCTCCGCCCGGATCGCCGTGTTCTCTTTCTCCTCCTGGATCATCCTGCGGGGATCAGATGGAGAAGTTATTATATTATTCTATATTATTCTAACTATTCAATCCAGATTCTGTATTATTCTGTACATTGAGTATTCTATAGATACTCTTTAGAAATATCCTTAGACTGTATATTTAGTGTTTATTAACATTTGATTTTGTTATTAAACTGCTGTTACAAAAGAATGAATAATACTTTGAGATACGTAAATCTAGATGTATAGTTCTGAGTTATCTAATCGAATGAAAAACATATTCAGAGCATTGCAGCAAGGTGCAACAATCCACTTTAGATGATCAAATAAAAAGACCTGACTTCAAACCATTGCACATAAGAAATAGTACTTTGTGGATGTGTAGCTAATGAACTGTCGTGTGTTGCTCACAGGTCACAGCTCACAGGTCGTTTGCATGTCAAAAGTAACTAGTGACTCTAGATTTAGTAAAACAGAAGTCTAAAGTACTTGAGTTAATGTACTTAGTAACTTCCCCCTGTGCCTGTACCTGATCTCGTTGTTGATGGCGTCCAGCTGTTCCTGCAGCATGAGGGCGAGGGTCTGAGCGTCGGCCTGGCCCCCGGGGGACAGCATGTCCACGGAGCTGAACATCGTCTCTCTGTCCTCCTCCAGGTCCGACGCGTCCATGTCGCTTTCGAACGCCTGCGCCACGTTAGCCAAAACGTTAGCTTGCTGCATGCGCTCCCACTCCTGCTCGTTCAACGTCTGCACCTGGGGCAACGACACGGAGGAGACGGAGGGAGACACACGGAGATGAAATGATATTGAAGGCAGAAAAAGGTTTAAAAGACAGTGAAAGCAGGCGGGACAGTTTCATCCCACCGGCCATAAGACTGTAAACACCTGAACTTTTGAAAGAACATCTGTTTCTATATTTCAATGACTGTATATAGACTATAGATGAGTAACACATGCGTCACTTCATTGTCATAACCACAAATGACAACAAAAGCCTTGAATCTTGAATCAGGAGGGAGATGTTTAACTTTGTCTTAATTTACATTATTTAATGTCATATTCTGTTCTCGTACATATCATATTCTATTTACATGTATATAGAAGCTTTGCACTACTTTTTATTTTTGTATTTTATGTTGCACGAGCTCAGGTCAGAAGAATTTCATAGATTTCTGTTTTAGAAATCCACATTTCGAGAGAACTGGGATCGATGGTAGGCAAAAAAATACAGACAAATATCTTGATAATTGATTAACTGTTAAGGAAACTGATATTTTAAAGTGGACCTATCATGCTATATTTGAATAATATAGTGTAGGACCATACCTATATTAGGCATATTTATACTTTTTATTTTTCAAAATACCAAACAGATCATGCATTTTAGCCATTCCTCATTTCGCTCAATTTAACACTGTCGTTGCATGGGCTGATTCTGTGAGAACAGCACCATCTACAGGCCTGGCATATGTACTACAGCGTATCCAGCTTGAACGGCAATGTCCGTGGCTGTCTCCTCCTGACACATATTCATGTATAAAAGACGTACAAAAGTGCATTTTGCATGATAGGTCACCTTTAAGTCTTTAAAATCAAAAAAATGTGCTGTTCACTGGGTTTTATATCATATCAGTGAATATCTTTGGATTTTAGTCTGAGAAATCCACATTTTGAGAGAATTTGAGAAACTGGGATCGACAGACCAAAATACAGACAATTATCTGAATAATTGATTAATTGTTAAGGAATAACAACTATTTATTTATTTGTACTTTATTATATATGTTGCATTGTTGGGGGAGCTCAGGTCAGAAGATTTTTATTGCCATGTCTACACTGTAGCTTTGAGCATACGACACAAAACCTTTGAATGTTTGAATCTTGAATGAGAGGTTTAGAGTGGAGTGTTTTTCATGAATGCATCACAGACAAAATCACGGTTTACTCCTCCTCCTCATTCACTTACATGTCGCTGAAGTCCAGAGAGGAAGCAAACAGAGAGAAATGGAGAAGAAGAAAATCATCAAAAAGAGCTCAAACATTAAACAGGTAGAGGGGGGGGGGCGGGGCGGCACGATGCAAACAACACATTGAGACGACAACACGTAAACAACTCTAATAATCTTCAATTCCAAAACATAAAAACATTTAGTCGACACAAATCCATTTAATCTGCATGTGGATCGTTATTCCCCCTTCGTCATGTATCTGTGTTTAACATACTTTATATATTATATCTTTCAAATCAATGTTTTGACTGATGAAATAAATATGTTGGGACCGTTTCATAGTCAGGGTTGGATTATTCTTAAGGTATTCGGTTAGATGATTTTTAGCTTGTAGATATATTTCAAACAGTCTCTTGAGCTCGTCAGCCCCTTTTCTCAAGCTTCACATTGTTTATCTGGGGTCTCCTTTCACAAATCGTAACCTTGCCTTGTGATCTTTCTTCTACTTTTAAACTGCATGTGAATCAAAAATGATGTAAGTTTTTTATTTATTTGTTTGAATAGGAAATGCAAATCATCTAGAATAATTACCAACCATGATTTCTGTTTCTCTTTTTACAAGATGCTACATCGATCGTCTACGTGTTAGCATTAATTATATGGAGGAATATGTTCATTCTGTCCACTGCATGTCGTATCCCTTAAACATCAAGGAAATATATGAGTCATTTTTATTTTTGTATCTTTAATATTTTTTTACTGCATGTCTTTGGCTCTTTTCTTGCTGTAACAAATGCAAATGTCCGCTCTGTGGGACGAACACAGGTATTCTGATTCTGATTTAAAGCTTGGCTTGAATCCTACAACAAACCTGTTCACTTCAGCTCGTCAGCTTCAAACAGTGTATCAGGGTTTCTCATGTCTTTATTCTGCCTTATTACTTTTCTTGTCCTTTTAAACTGCATGTGAATAAAAAATAATTACATTGTCTCTTATTTTTTTTAAAGTACCAACCTTTGGTCGTGTGATTTCTGTTTCTCCTACTTTCTCTTTTTACAAGATGCTCCATCAATCGTCTAAGTGTAAGCCTAAATCAGGGGTGTCAAACTCAAGGCCCGCGTCCTCATTTTATGTGGCCCACAAGAGCAAACAATACAGTACACAAACCAATTGGTGTAATTGTTGAATATTTGCTTTCAATGATTTGACTTCTGCTTTCAGACGTTATTAGTTATTACCAGAACTGATAATAATCCAATGCAGTGCCAATCATGTAAAATAATACATTATTTAATATATATTATATAAACAGTCTTAAAGTGACATCCGGCCCTTTGAGTGCAACCATAATGCTAATGTGGCCCGCGATGAAATTGAGTTTGACCCCCCTGGCCTAAATGATAAAGACACATAAGCTCATTCTGCCCATGGCATGGTGTATCCCTTAAACATCAATAGAGGAAATATATAAAGCTTGAGATCCATTTAGCTTGAATCCTATCTTATGTTCCATGGAGCTGCTGTGATGCAAGTCAAATTTCAGACTCGATCTGACCATTTAAGTGTTATCGGATCGTATCGTTCCTAAGTAATGTTTTAATTGACAAACATCCAGCAGCAGTTGATGTTTAGCTGACCTTTGACGGCTCGTCCCTCATCGCTGCCATGCGTCCCTTCTGCGGCCGCCGCAGCACCAGAGCGCTGCCGTAATGATCCGAGTTACTGTCCATCATCGAGGAGGCCGACACCGGGTACCTGAAGTCTGGAGTGCTGCCCATCTGAGAGCGTCTGGGAGAAGAAAAAACACATTAAAAAAACCTGAAACGTCGATATTACAAATGGACATTTAGAACATGATGGAGAGGATAACATCACCTGTCAATCACAAACTGGAACTATTTGTATCACGATGGACAAAGTGGACTGATTTCGTAAATTGTAATTTTTACAAACGTATGATTTGACGGTGAAGTCCTGATCACTCCCTAATGTTCGTACTTTTTACCATTTTTATCTTGGTGTAAAAAAAGAAAAAGGCATTTCGGACCGGCGAACTTAAGATGTACGATTACTATGTGTTGAAAAGAACACTGGGTAATTGTTTGCTACCAAATGTCAATAACTAATATATTACAACAAATAAATAAACCTGAAGTGCCAGAAAGACTGAGGGGTTACGGGTTTAGATCTAATCATTGTTCTTTGCTAAGAGGCTGCTGCAACACTTCAGAATCAGAAACGGGTTTATCACCAGGTAGGTTGCCGTGTACGAGGAATTTGACTTGATGTCGTGGTGCATTCATAAAAGTAAAACACAAATTACAGATAGAGAACTATTTTAAGAAAACTTCCTTGTAACTGTAAGCAATGCTAAAGGCTACACTAGATGGGAGTGGTCTGAAAAAAAACATACAAAAAGTGGAAAGTGAGAAAGACTGAGAGGTTACAGGTTAAACCAGGTGTACATAGCTACAGTGTAGATCAGGGGTCACCAACCTTTTTTAGGGTGAGGGCTAATTTAAAAAAAAATAAAACAAGTCGGGGGCTACTTTTACTCCTTTTTTTGTTTGTTTTTTGCAGTGTATATATTTATTTTCTTGTGTATTCTTAACTTATGTTAGCTTGTAGCGTTCTTTCTTTTTATTTATGCATATTTGACTAATCACTCCCCTTTTAAACCGTCAAGTTGCAACAGACACAGAGTAAAACTCTGCCCCTCATGTGTTGTATAGGCTGGCATGA